CAGCTGACCAAAGACAGCTTTTAAACAGTAGCTTATTTGCTCATGTGGGCTAAACCCAGCTCAACTGATTTACTGGCTTTTCTGCTTCAGGAGTCACTCTGCTCCAGGAGGAGATGGAGGGGGCTGGAAGAGGTTTTTTTTTTTTTTTTTTTTTGGGCAAAGGATCTGGACAAAGAGAAGGCGAGTTAACATTCCAGCCTAACTAAAAGCAGAAAGCTTGGATTTTAGGGTTCAGGGAGCAGACAGAGGGCACATGAAACGCAGTCTGAGGAGTGAACGCACATCACCAAGTCGCACGTGTCAAATCAGTGGGTGAAGATATCCAAAGTATAAAAACAACAGATTCCCTCCTCTGTGTCAAATAAGCCACAAAAAGTATTTAAAGACTCTTGAGGAGAGCCGTTGAAGGCTATGAACACGCTTTGCTGAGTCAGACCGGACTGTTTTGGAAATTGTGGCATTCCTGCAGGAAAACAAAGTGCTGCCAAGTTTTAGTGGGGAAACAAAAAATCCAGTGTCTCAGAACATGAAGCCATCATTGAAAGAAAAAAAAAGAAAAGACACGATTAGTCAGGAAACCTTAAAAACCACGATTAGTAGGAGAATTACTCATTTTAAAAACAACAAAGGAAAATCAGTGTAAGGCTCCGAGTCTGGAACTTTTTTTTTCTTTTTTTACGCGCTGTGGGGATTTTAAAAAAAAATCACCTTTTATATCAAACTACATGATCTCACAGCAGTTTAAGTTGCACTAACTGCGACTTTAACCAAGTGTCGGCTGTATTAAATTTCCCCCTTGGGCTTGAAACTGACGAAAACAGGACGACTCACCGCTCTCCGGCGCGCACGGCTCCAAAAAAAAAAAAAAAAACTCGACTTTTGGATATTCAGACTGCGCGTAAAACTAACTTTACGCACAAAATAGCTTCAACAGAGTTCTAAAATGGAAATCAAAGTGTCCTGACAAACTTTTCTCGCAGCCAAAACGCTCACCTTCTGCGCTCCAACCCGCGCGTCTTCCCCTCCTTTGCGCTTAATTGCTTCACCAGGTTTTTCTAATTAGCGCGCGTTCTCATCGGCGTCTGCGTCCGCGGCGGGAGGCTTCAGTATGAACCCATTCAGCCCGCGTTGACCCCATATGTCGGGGTCCCGAACGAAAGGGACAAAAGAAGGATCTTTGATTCCTGCGGGGCTCCTGCTCCTTTCCCTCCCTCCTCTTCCTCCCCGCACCTCCTCCACGTAACTCGGCCCTATTCAAGAAGAGGAGGCCCCTCCGCTGAAACCTGAGCTCCACGACGCTGACTACCGTTCTGCCCCCACGACAAAAGGACCACGGGAATACTATTATGCGTTTTATAATATAATGATGCCATGTGAGTGTCACAGTTAAACCTCAGAGTCTCCACAGGGACCTCGGAGGAATTTCAGAGGAGATTAAAAAAAAAAAAAAATGCCAGGACGCACAGCCTGCAAGTGACTGAAGGAATGCATCTTTTTTTTTTTTTTTTTTTAAAGCACACATGCATGTTAAATAAATTACAAAGCCACAATGCAGTGACAGCAAGCTTTTCTAATTAACAAAAAAACTCCAAATATATACCCCTAATTGCCACATAAGTGGGTCCATCAAGCTGCAGCAGCCCCACAATAAATCCTGCCTTTATGGAGGTTGTAATGCTCAGTTTTTGGTTTATGATTCAACTTTATGATCACCGTGGAGGCTGTTGTGTTTCTTTCTGTTGTGTTACACACTCACAGGTGTGTCTAATATCTACCCCACGCTCTGCTACACCAGTAAATGTGTGGATGGAGGCTTCGCAGCTTCCAAAATGCCCACATACAGCAGATTTCTTTTCTTTCATTGCACTGCCATGTGGGAGACAGATGAGACGGATAACGGAGAGGATGTTTCGGCACATGTAGAGCACGCTCACATTCACACCTACGGATAATTTAGAATCGCCAATTAACCTCAGCGTGTGTTTAGGCTGTGGGAGGAAGCCAAAAACTGGGGGGGAAAAGCCCCCACAATGCACAGGGAAGAACATGCAAACTCCACACAGAAGGCTGAGGCTTTGGAGAGAAACTCTGGACAAAAAGTTCCAAAAATGCTCAGAAATGGTTTTGAATTTTGAAGACGATAAGTGCTGCAGGTCCATCCAAGAGGTTAAAAGTTGCAAAAAGTGATAAAAGTCTTCAGAGTGTGCAGGATTGTGCAGATTATTGACCTAAAAATGTGCAAAATTCCACAAGTATAGGCTCTAAACAACCTTTTCCTGCCCAGTTTTGTCATTTCCAACCAAGATGGCATCACTGCGAGAGCTGCAAGATCTCGTGAGCTGCAGGACTGTTCTTTTTTTTAACATCTACATGTGTGGCTCTAACTGATCTTGATGTGTAATATTCATGGAATGCACCTTTTAAGCATTTCCATGTCCGAACGCACTCTGTTTGTTTTGCACGGATCTGTTTTTCTGTTTACATTCTACAAAAAAAAAGGAAAAACCTCCAGCATCATAATGTAATCATTTCCCCCTCTCTTTTTCTTTTTTCGCTCAGGACCCTGCGTTGTCCCCTGGACCACGGTTTTGNAAAATAATTCTAGGTAAGCATCAACCGCAGGGCAAAGAAATAAACAAAGCCACATGCTTTGATTTAAGCTCTCCGGCATGCAGGTATCCGTGTGCGCGTTCACCCCATTGGTCGGCGTGCACCATTCCTGGTAGCAGTTTGGTAAACCCACATTCTTACAGCTCCCCGCCACGCCAAGCCTGAGCTGCTTAAATCACAAATCAAAGGGACGACTGGCAAGTTGCAGCTAGCCGCGAGGAGACCTGCTGAGGCTTTGGCCTGCAGAGATTAGAATACTAAAGCTGTGAACTGATTTAGGAATTTATTTGCTGTCTCAGTGCCCAGAATTATTCCTTTTAAAAACCACAACACGGAGCCCTGAAATGGCCAAACACAAAAGAACCAGCAGTGGTTCTTGTGCGGTTCAGCGCATGTTATTAGTGATAAGTCACTTTTAATTCACTGAATTTTCACAATGAAGCTTGATTTCCTTATTTTCTGGCAGCCTTGTGGACAATTTAAGCACTAAAATCCATCCCAAAGGTCATCCAAAATGAGTCTGCGGGATACAGGAAACATTTTAAATTACACAGAAGTTGCCATAGAGACTGAGACAAAAAGCAAAAAAAAGAAGCAGCTACCTTTAGGAATAAATGAACCCTCCCTTTCTACATTTAGACTCCAGGGTGTAGCAAAGAAAATAACCAGCAGCTCGTGACTCATTGCCACAGAATCAGGCTTCAGACATCACAAGCATTTGAAGGTTTGCGTCCTGGGATGAGTCCCCCACCACTCAGGCCCTTACTTGCGAGAGTTAATCATCCATTCCTGTAAAGTCTTCTCACCAAACTGTAAGAAATGGTGAAACCGACTTGCCCGAGCATGCCAAAAAAAACCCTTCCACCACAACCAGAGCTACACCGAAGGTATGGACGCATCCCAAACCGTGAACATTCTGGGCGTCGACACACCCTCTCGGATTTGAAAGCACGTCAGAGCTGATGGTTGAATCGGGAACAGCGTCTTTGTGTCCGGCCAGTGTTGGTTTACGCTCATGGGAACGTGGAAGGGCCCAAAACAGACGACTTTTGCGACCCTGAGAGGAACGTCTGAGACAGAAACAAGTCCGGCTGCGAGGGTGACATCTGGTTTACCCCTACAATTACACCTGTCCCACATAGGTGCTGCTTTCTGCCCTCCTCACATTCTTTGAGGCCCTTTAAACTTTAAACCCAAGCACCTGTGCGTTCGGTCGCTCTTCGTGATGCGATTTTCAGCTAAAATGGTTCGACCCGCACAAAAAAAAGCGCCAAAAACATCCAAAGGCGTCACGATTCCGAAGCGCTCTAACCGCTAATCTAATATCAGTGTAATTAAGAGAAAACCTCTACACAGCCATGACAAGGAGCCAAACACTGATAAGTGGATTTGACCTCGAGGTGGATTCCACCTCTGTGCGACTTTATCACCCTTTACACAAGCTTATCACGCACATTTCAGCCACCACAGAGAACACGTTGGCTTGACCTTAACAGGGGACATGCATTTCTTACATCAAATTAGCACAACATCAGTACGTTTTAACACCACTGCACTTTTCCCCCTCAACAAAATCACTACGAAAAGCAACTCTGCAAGTTCCACTGGATGCATTAAACGTCACAGGCAGGGTGGTACATTTAAAAAAAAAA